GGCGGTGCTATTTAAGAGACTGAGCTGAATACAGCACCTCAGACTGAGGAAGTCTCTTGGATGAGAGATGAAACGTTTCTACATTTTTTTGTTGATTTGCTTTGTTTTGTTTTTTTTTAATGTCCAGAGGACCAGATTTAACTTTTTTAGATTTTTCTACCTGGATTATTGAGCATGCATCAGGATAGATACAGTTTTGCTCATTTTAGCTTTTAGGTGCTTATAATTTTGGTGATCGTAATTGTGGCATCTGTTCTGCTTGTTTTAATTTTGACTATGCAGTTTCAGCAAAATAGCAGACCTTCTGGTGGGGATGTTGACGTCAGCCAGTGTGTACAGCGGGGTGAGGCTGGGCACTAGGTAGTGCAAACGAGGGAAAGGAACCATATTCATGGCAATCTCATTCAGATCCATGTTGAGAGAACCCTCAAAACGTGCAGAGCTGAAACAAAAAGAAAATCAAAGTTTGGAAGAAAAAAACAAACAAATTGGATGTAGTAAATAGATATGTTCTAACTTTGATCAAAGAATAGATAAGAACTGGGAAAACAAGAGCAAAATGGGTGTAAGCACTAAAGAAAATTATGTTCTTTAGATTATTTTCATGAGCATGTTTTATAATATAATTTCCTTGTCTGAGTAGGAAAGAGAAAATGCACAAATTAAAAGTATGTTGTATAAAAACATGCTTTGCCTTTAAAATGTTCTTAACAGGTATTTTGTCACCATCTTAAATAACTTGTCACAAGTATTTTCTGAAGGTTTCTTGTTCTTTATCTTATTACTGTAATGGGACAGTGGTTTTGGAGATCGAACTCAGTGGTGCAGGCAGGACTCAGAGGCCCAGAGAGTAAAATAAGAAGCACTTGAATAAACACAAACATAACAAGCTGTCATGGCAGCGGTACTCAAATTAAATCCAAGGGAACACATAGAAATACTAGTAAACTCTAGGAACTCAGAAGGAGGCACCAGAGAACTCAGGAGGGAAATCAGACGATGCCCAGACAACAAATAACACAAAAACACAAACGTATATACAGAGACTAATGAGCCACCATCACAAACACCTGGACAGGACAAGCAGGTGAAACAGATCACACACACACACACACACACACATATACATGTATATAGGGGAGTGGTGGCACAGAGGTTAGAGAAGGTGGGCCTGTGATCAGAAGATCGCTGGTTCAAGCCCCGGTACCGACAACGTAAAAAACGTGGGTGGGGTAGGTGAAGCACCCACACCTGCCCCCACCCTCATTTGCCCCACTCTGGGCCCTTGAGCAAGGCCCTTAACCCCCACCATCTGCTCCTCCGGGTGTCCTAGATAGCAGCTCTCTGCTCCACACAGAGAGCTGTGGTAGCTGGGTGGTTTGTGATTGTGTCAGGAAGGGCATCTGGCGTAAAAATAACTGCCAAGTCTTGGTGCGACTTAGTTCGCTGTGGCGACCCCTGAAGAAGGGAGCAGCTAGTTGGTATTTCAATCCTAGGTTGCTCAGGTAAAATTTATTTTTTGTTATAGATTTAATTTGTTGATATTCTAAAAAAAAAAATTCTTATCAGTACCATACTGTGTTATTAATCTGTTAAATGGGATATAGTCTACTTCCTCATATATATGTTCCAAATATTTGATTCCTTTACACCTCCAACCTGGAAAGTTTATCATATTATTCTGTTGTAGGATGTCGGGGTTGTTCCAGATGGGTGTACTTCTGCATGGAATTAGAGAAGACACTGTCATTTTAAGAAACTCCCACCAAGCTGTTAGGGAGGAGCTGATATTGATGTTTTTAAAGCATTCCTGTCGTTTTGTGTTTGAGCTAATGAATGGAAGGTCCGAAATCATTATGTTATTACAAATTGTCTGTTCTACGTCTAGCCAGGGTTCATGAAGGGGTGTGTGTTTTATTCATTCAACCTTTATTTAGACAGGTAAATCCCATTGAGCCTCAAGGACTCATTTACAAGAGAAACCTGATTTCAACAAAGAATGACGACAACAATGGACAACAGCGACAACAATAAGCATTTGGAAAAAAGGCATACAATTATTTTTTTTTAACAAATAGGATGGCAAAAAAAAGAAAAGTAAAAAGAAAGAAAAGTAACAAAAAACAGCTAGATTCTAAAGTGAATGTAGAAAACTAAAAACAGGAACATGTCTGCATTGGTCCCTGCCAGGAGTCCAACAGATCCTTAAAGCCACTTAGAGAGGTCAAGGTTGAGATCTTCAGATCTTTTTGTAAGATATTCCAAGAAACAGGAGCAGAGTAGGAGAAGGCCCTTTTGCCTAGTTCAGTCCTCACTGAGGGAACACTGCAGGTAATAATGTCCTGAGAGCGCATGCTGTAGCTGCACTCACACAGAGACATGAAGGAGGAGATGTATGAAGGCAGCAGACCAAGAAGTGATTTAAAAATGAAAATGTACCAGTGAGAGAGTCTGTGTGAAGTTAATGATGTCCAGTTAACCAGTGAATACAGGGTGAAATGATGGGTACGATAATCACAGCCAGTTATGAATCTTAGTGCACCATGATAGACAGCATCCAACATCTGCAGGGTTCTTGTAGGAGCGTTCATGCAAATATTGTCACCGTAATCAATGGAGGGAAGGAAAGTCACAGATACGAGGCGTTTTCTAGCATTCAGGGTTAGACAGGATCTGTTTCTGAAAAAGAAACCCAGTTTAACTTTCACTTCCTTTACCAAGTTTTCCACATGGACCTTAAAATAGAGATGCGAGTCAACCAAGATACCCAAATATTTATAGAAATCAACAAACTCAATGGGGACATCATTTGAGGATGAGATCAGAGGAAGAACTGCTGAGACCAACTTCCTATTTAAGATAAGTTTGAGGCGGAACAAATCTGTTTGGATTGTTGAATACAGATTGCAGAAGCTGGAAAGCCTTATCAACTGTTTTAGCTCGACAATAAACAACTGTGTCATCAGCATAGAAATGTATGGCTGCATTAGGGATGTTTTTACCTACATTATGTATGTAGATTGTAAAGAGGGTGAGTCCTAAGACTGAGCCTTGTGGTACACCATTGTTGACTGTTAAATAACTGGAGGAAGTACCATTATGTTGAACACATTGCCTCTGGTCTGAGAGATAGTTAGAGAACCAACCAATGGTGTGTTCTGAGAAACCGATTTCTGAGATCTTATGACACAAAATGTTAGGATCCACAGTGTCAAAAGCTTTAGACAGGTCTAAGAAAAGTATGGCACAATAATCCTTAGCATCCAGTGCTTCAACAACATCATTAAGAACCTTCAGTGAAGCAGTGGTTGTGCTGTGTTGTTTCCTGAAACCAGATTGATGTGGAGGTAAGATGTTAAATGAGTCCAGGTAATTTTTGATTTGAGAGTTTATCAGTTTTTCTAGAACCTTGGCTAAAATGCAGAGTTTAGAGATTGGCCGATAGTTGTTCAGTGAGGTGGGGTCACCTCCCTTCAGCACAGGTAGACCAAAGGCTGTTTACCAAGCATCTGGAATGGAGTTTTGGTTTATGGAGACATTGAAGATGTGGGTCACAGGGACTGTGATGATATGAACAGCCAGCCTTAAGAAATAAGGTGGAAGTTCATCTGGACCTGCAGATTTTTTTAGGATCAAGATCTTTTAACAGTTTATTGACCTCACTGACTGAGAATAGAGAAAAAGAGAAGGTGTGATTAATTGAGGATTGACTTGTAGGAGGGATTTGATTTGTAAAAGTTTGGTTATTAAGTGAAGTGGCTGATTTTCCATTAGTAACTGTGTCAAATAAAGAACTAGAAGCAACAAAATGTTTGTTGAAACAGTCCAGGATCTCGTGCTTATTTGACACAGGAACAGAGTTAATGAGAAGTTGTGATGGGAGGTCAGATGATTGGGGCTACCTGAAAGAGATTTGATGGTTTTCCAGGATCTGTTAGGGTCATTTAGATTTTTGGGGGTCTGAGATAAGAAATAGTTGCGTTTTGCTGCTTTGACAGCAGTTATGCATTTATTCCTCATCTGTCAAAAACTCAACCAATCAGTGTCTGAGTCAGCTTTTCTCGCTGTGGTCCAAAGATGATCTCTCTTATGAAGGAGGTCAGCTAGCTCTGGAGTAAACCAGGGGCTGTCTTGTCCCTTTATTCTGAACTGACAAAAAGGAGCATGTTTATTCACAAAATAAATGAAACTATTATGAAAATAGTTCCAAGCGGAGTTCACGTCATCAATTAATAGAATACGATGCCAGTTAAGGCATATTTGTTAGAAACAGGTCTAAGATGGAGGATTTTTCAGGATGGTTTTTGTTTAGTCGGAGAGTTGATCAGTTGGATAAGATTTAGAGACAGGCAACATTCATTGAATTTATCACAGAGGGGGGTCAACTTACTCCAGTCAATGTTGAAATCTCCTGCCAAAAAGATCTCTTTGAATTTTAAATTACCAAGGAATTCCATCAGGGAGGACAGAGCTTCAGGTGTTGCTGAAGGTGGACGATAGCAGACTACAGATAAAATCTGGCCTCCATTCAAAGTGATGTTTACAGCTAAGGCATCAATTTGGTTTGGAATTGTTTTAAAATACACAAGACTAGCAACCAGAGAATATCTGATGTAAACAGTGACCCCCCTCCCCCTTTTTTTTTGACAATCACAGCAGAAGATGTTAAATCCATTGTTAACCAGGTCATTATTCAGTACAGATTTGTTGAGCCAGGTTTCAGAGATCACGGTTACATCTGCCCCAGAAGAACTTACCAGAATTTTCAAGGCATCAAGTTTTCTCAGAAGGCTACGAGCTTTTACATGCAGAAAATGAAGTTCAGACATGTTTTTAAAGTCATTTGGTGTAGTGTAATTAGTGGGGGGTCCAGGGTTGGGTTGAATCCCTGAGAGCAGTGTAGTGAACTAGGCCTCCGACAACAACCTGTCTCTGAAGACCTTCAAGGGACAGGAACTGCTATTTCATTGATTTGAATCCAGAAATACAAGTTATCTCATCAATAATAATAATAATAATACTAATAATGTCATCACAATGTCAGCACTGCATGTTTCCATACAATGGCAAAATTAGTCTCTGCATTTAACCCATCCACCACCAGGCGGTGCAAAGGGCAGCTATTGAAAGCGCCCGGGGGGCATTTTGGGGATGAGGTGTGCTGCCCAGAGACGCCACGTGATGTATCAAGAGACTATTTAATTGTATCCTGAATTAATCAATTGAAAGAACACTCTTCCTTTTTACATTATCATTACTATTTTAGAATATCTTGATAATCAAATGTGTGTTTAGTTCATACCATTTCTAAATGCTGAAGTGAACCACTCGTTTAAATCAACTGTGAAACAGTATTAAAGATTTTTAAACCTCATTAGACTTAGAAATCAAGTTAAATGTCTATTTACAAAGTAAGTGTGCATTTTGAGCATCTGTCTGAAT